TTTGTTCTACAACATTTTTCATCGAAGATGATAATATAAGATGTATCATACTGCATAATGTAAAATGTAAATTGCTAACTATATAGGTTAAAGATACCTCATATACATGTAATTTTTGATGAATAGGTTTCGTAGCATATTGTAACTTATTAAGTATACTGATTGTAACATCAGGTAGATTTGGTAAAGCATCTTGCTTTTGTTCGCTCAAAGTGTAAAGCGCTGCATGAGTTAATGCGGGTAAGAGAAGTTGAGCAATTTGGCCTATGCGCTTTGTACTTAGGAAATGCAGAGCTTTTTCAGCTTCCCTTGTGTCATCGAATAGACGTTTTTGTCGATGTGCAGGTACAGGCAGGGCTGAACTCCAAGTTGTAGACCATGGATTATTGGGAATCAACATTCTTGCCGATAAGTGACCTATATTAGATAATAGATTATATAATTATAGGTTTCTCTTTAAAGTTTCTTCATTTTATAATTTTAATTTAAAGAGTATAAGGAAATTCATAACAAACCTTTAGGTTGACCCCATTCGTCCGTTACATCCTCCTCAATCCAATCTCTTGGGGAATACCAACGAATGAAGTCTTCCAAAACTGCTCCAGGATTCGCTGCCTATGTTTAATAAGTTCTTCGATTAATATTTTATATAAGAAACTTTTTCCAAAAAAAAAAAATATTACCAACTTCACTAAACGTCACTAAAACGTATGAAATAATTTCAATTTTATTTTCACTTTATTTACACATGTACATATGCAACAACAGATAAAATTACTCATTTACTCGTTAAACAGCATATTAAATATTGTAATCTTTTTGAAGACAGGTAGTGTGTCACATACGATATCGCAATGAAAGTAGACTCATGTCCGAAGACGAAACCGCAGAACAACGTTTCCTGTGATTAAAATACGAGTTGCAGCTTTTATTGAGAAATGTAACTGTCGGACAATTTGTTCATGCGGAACAAATTATCGAAGCAGCGCTCGCTCAGGCTGTTGCTTCGAATGCAGTACACGTAGAAGGAATTAACAGTGAATGTTTAAAAGACTCAGTCATGATTATATGAAGAGGTGTTGCCGTTCATCAAATATTCGGGAAAACTTTGCATTCCGTTTTCTCATTGCCCATTGAGAAAAGCACTGCTATAATGTATCAGCGAATGACAGGACAAAGACTCGAACAAGAGAGCCGAAAGTGGTGTCATGGTCGATCATTGATGAAATATCAATGATCTTTTACGATAATACGCTATTTATATAAATCTTCGAAGTAAATAAAAAGTACCTATATATATATGATCTTCTTTCATTCCTAGGATGAGTAAAATATGGTGTCAAAGTTTGATCATCTATTTGTGAAATACCCTACATAATTTATTTTTGTATTTTCACCTTGAAAGACTCCATATCGGACAATAACGAGGCACTCATTAATCTGGCCCGCATTTCCGAAGCATGTTTGCTAGTTCCAAGCTGCATCATCACTTGGGCATCTTCCTCAAGTTGATCTTCTGTTTTTGGTACAGGATCCTGTGTTATCGGCAGATAAAGAGGATCTCCAGTTTGGATTAATCTGAATAAAATGATCGTTTGATTAAGTATTTTTATTTCTCAGCCTCATATCGTTTGTGACTATAGCAATTAAAAATGAAATGATTTAGTTTTGAAATTTTTAATTTCATTAAATTTTACTGTTAATTCGTATCACGAAGAATGTAAAACAGAAAATAAAAGTAATTATTCTAAAGTGTGGTCTAACATAAGTTACTACAGTAAACTATAACGATACTATTCGAGAGTTGATTTACTATATTTATTATTTCAAATAATGGTATATCTATACCTAAGAAAGCCACGTTCCACGAAACATAACACGTGCACATAACACATAAATGAATTCGTTTGTTTAACGCGTAAATTACGAAAATTATTCCACGGAAATTTATTATTACCGAGGCATTTCATCATAAGAAATGTTTTCATTATAGACGATTTTTCAACGATGTCTGCCATATCGACTATATATTAATTGAAATAGATTGTTTGATATATTAATCGACTTGAATCATTATTATCCAGGAACACGTCATTACATAGGAAAGGAAAATAGGGTGGTGTAAGTAAGTTAGCAAACCTGCGTCGGCACAAAATAACTTTGAATGAATCGATCTTTTCTAGAATACTTCAATACTTCAAACAAGTGAAAATAAATTATTAACACTGTATCTTCCCTGACGATTATATGCCAATTTTCTGAAAATGAATCGTTATTCGTAATTAAATACAAATATAATAAGAAAATTATGCGAGTAAATAAATGGAATAAAAAGTTATAAACGTGAAATTAAATTTAATTTCTTTTCATTGTCTATGTTAAAATGAAGATAGGTATTTAATCTTTTTCACGCTCTAAGCGTGAAAATTAATCGGTCGACGTATGTACAATAGGTAATATCTCACAAAACGTGGCTTTGCTAGAAATTTGTTTAAATTGAAAAGCTGTTAAATGTATAAAAATAAAAAAGCAACAACTAAGTTTTATACTTGAGCGAAGGATGTTTGGCTAATCGTCCTGCTGGTTTGTTCCACAGCAGATGTGTCGCTTTCTGCTGTGCTCTTGATGACGAATCGTCCTCGTTCGCTGGTTCCTCAGAGGTGCATTCGAAAAATTCCTCTTCTTCTGATTCTGCTACAATCGGAAGGAAAACATTGTTTAAATTATACGATCTTATTGTAAAATAGATTTAAGAAAGAAATTAAATACATAATATTTCTTTTTCGTTTCGTTTAAAAAGTAAATAATTAATTTAATTGTTTAAATTTGTATTTCTCTTATTGTATCGTTTTTCCCTTTATTATCTAATTTATTATTTTAATAATATTATTCTGATAATTTACGTCCAAAATGCGGAATATCTTTCAATAGATAAGTTTATAATCGTATTATATTACAAATGTTCACAGCTTGAAAATGTATCTGATCTATGTATACGTTGCTGCAAAATTCATTATACATGTATAGATAAAAATAAAAAAGAAACTTTAATATAGTACAATTTTATGTAGATACTAAACATAAATTCTACAAATTTGTGCGTACAATTCGATTTCACTGCAAAGATAAAAATTAACAAATTTTCCATCTCACTTTAAAATTTATAGCATATACATATGTACGTATAAAGCAGATCTTTGAAGAATTACCTGTTTCAAACTCGTCGGTATCTGCACTTTGAGATTTATGCGCCATCTCTTCCCTTGCTTTCTTTTTTTCGATACAACAATTCATCATCTAAAGGAATAATGTTTATTGGTAATTTGAATACTTTACTGACTAAATTTAAATAGGAAATCCTTTCGTTACATATTTTTCTCAAATTAATATTATAACAAAATAAATAATAAATTAGTTTTAAACTATCAAGTTCGAGAAAAAAGAATTAACGAAGAACAATGAAAGGATATTACCTGAAGTTTTTGATGCAATATACATGTTCTTACGGAATCCGGGAATCCTGGGCTCACTCTGAAATAAAACAGGTTTATCTATGCAGTTTTTATCATAATTTGGAGAATAATAGCGATGCACGTTTTGATACAAGATATCAACACTTTGTAATTACATTGTGATTACATTGTTTGCGAAGAACTTTTTGCTTCGTACTAACTGCAAATCATTTTTATTATATAATTATTATGTTCGGTTGCTTTAATATACAATAATAACTCCATTTCGAGAATATTACCTTTCTACTTTTATATCAAAAGTCCAAGTTCATATCATGTATTTATTTTTTAATACAATCTGAATTTTGTTTATTTCTACATCAAGTTATTGGAAAACTTTACGATTATGGAACGAATAATAATTGAAAAAATACTATTTATTTTTAAATAACTATTATCTTTAAATTAATCTTAGATATTTTTATTTGCGAATATTATTTCGTAAATATACAAAAACGTAACGAAAATAACGATGAAAATCGTTTTCACAATTTTCAGTAATATCGTTATGATAACGAAATAAGAAATCGTGATAATAAGAATAAATTTGTATGATTAAAACGCATCAAGGAATGATTATATATTTGTTTACCGATACCTCAGTTGCCCTTTCGGACCTCGAGGGGCTTCTTCATATAAATCAATGGTTTCATATCAAATCGTAGACAGATCGCCTATGAAAGTGTTTGATGCGAATCAGAAATTTTACAAAATGTTCATATTTTGTTTCTGCAAAATGGCAAATCGTGGTGGCAAATAAAGTTCGTTCGAAAGATGTCATCGTCTTCCATATACAGGTAAATCTTCATATTATAGCACTCTTACGAGACGATTGACACGGTTATATTGGTCAAATTTGAAATCAATCTGGATATGTATATAGAGGCTACAAAATATTTACTAGAAGCATAAAAAGTTTAATAAAAAAAAACTTAGCATAGAGCATAAACAACCATCTTAAGCATGTAATGAAACGAGTATCGAAGCTTATTAATACAACGAATAATTGACTATTCAAATACTTTTATGATCTCTGTGAAATACATAGATATCGTACTTCTACCGAATATCTTGCAATTTCTATATATAATTTCGGATTTGTTTCAAAGTTTCGCAGCATAGCCAGAGTGCTACTGGAATTTCAAAATGTTTCGTACAACGCATATAGCGTATCCAGAGAAGGTTTTCATAATCTTATTTTAGTTTTCAACATTTAACTTCGAATACTTTCAATATTTTGGACCGAGTACTATAACGTACTATATCCGATCGAATTATTAACGTTTTACGTATCCTCCTTGTAACGATTCTTCGATACTGGTTATATATTAGCAGGCATTCGTTGAGCCGTTCCGAATAGAAACGTTAAATAGTCCTTTACTTGTCATACGGCGATGCCTAGTGCCCACGAAATATTTTAGGTTGGCCATACCGAGCGTGCCATATATCACTCCGAAAGCGCGCCTACGACCAATCGAACGATCGCGCGAAAAATCAGGACAGTGTTTCGGTAGTTGACGGTCGAAGGATCGATCGAAAATTCGTTTTTCCAAGACCTGTGCACTCTATCCTGCCCTACCTCGACCTGCACTGCTACGGGAGAGAGACGCGCTTCTAGAGGGGGTCGAAGAGCGGCAAATTCTTGCAGTCTAGTGGAAGACCGTGATGCCGATGCTACCGAGCCGAACTTAACGGTTCTCCAGTATCGAACGCGTCGTTGTTCGTGAGTTACGCGCGTTCCTATCGATCTATACGCTCGAACAAGAATTATTCGATTAGTAGGTGATTTACGTCGCGAACTATACACGCATAACACACGCGCGCTAGTAGAGGTAACTGGAAGTATATCACTAGGAATTTTAAAGGTTCGTTTATCTCGTTTCGAGAACAAGGAACAACAGGTGCCGTCAAGGAAGCGCTTCGATGGCTTCTATCTTGTAACACGTACAAAACAGATTTTTGTTTCTACGTGTTGCGTCCCTTTACGTGATTTCTTTAACAACTGGCTACGAATTTCGGCTTCGCCGGAACACGTCATGGGCCAAAACTGGCTATAAACTAATGCCGACAAATATGAGTAAGTAAATCCTATCTGGATTCTTTTTTTTTCGTATTGGTTTCTTTTTCTTTGAATTATGGGTACCCACGTGTAAATATGTACATATATTGGATAATTATAAAATAGCAATTTTATTTTCTTAGATATACACATACGTAAAACACGTACATAAACACGTGCATATTGCCGTATAAAAGAACGTTCTTATTTATTTTTCGTTAGTTTTCCTCCTTTCAATTTATCGTTTCCATTTTTCAAATTTTTCGTAATCGTTACGATTGTCTTCTCCTTAATTTTTGGTAACGATACGAGTGTCTCTGACGCGAAAGAAATTTTAATCGATTCGGTGTTGTTTCTTTTCCTGTTTCTTTTCATAGGAACCTTGTTAGGAGCGTTTTGGATATTTATAAATTATTCCCTAGTTTTGGTTACGTTTAGTTTTCAAATTCGCGTACTCGCGATGTTGCTAAATTTTTAATTAATTTTAAGCTCTTTGTCACGGTGTATGAAAAAACCTACTTAGTCATCGACATATTATTATCTATTTTCGAGCGTCGACTGTATAAAAAAGTGAATCGAATATGAATTTTTCAAAGACATTTTGCCCTTGAAATGTCAAATATTCACCTGGTTTCCGTTTTGAGGGATTCTGGATAACCTGTACTTTTGTATCTCTATTTGAAAGTAGTTTTTATAATTATTAATAAACCTCTAGTGACATTAATATTGCAATGACTTTTTCCACAGAATTTAACTCTTGCGCTCAATTATAATCGTATACGGTATAGAGGTATGTTGGTTCCGACGATTTCAAAATACTTAACGGTACATACCATCTTCGTCCAAAATCGTTCTCTCGTCTTTTTTACCAACAGCTTACAGCTGAATTAATACATTTCACTAAATCGTTTACTCGTGTAATAACTATTATCCGATCTTTCAAAAATCTATCGTATAAATTAAAAAGAAAAATAGAAGCAAAGAAATAAATCGGATAAATATCGATTAAATTCATGCCTTATTAATTAAATTCAAGCTCGTTCAAATTCTATGCACGCGACATATGCAAATTCTATTTTGTACAGCGGAAATAATCGATTATTGTAAATTATTGCTGATTATCGTAGAAATTGAAAAAGGAAATTTAATACGAGTTTCACGACATATTCGTAAGCGTCGTTTAAATTTTATATCGCACGTAACAATAATTCAGAATATCGTAAATTATTTATAATCGTTAGATGAAAAGAAATTGAAGTTGAATTTAAATCTCGCTTGAATATATTTTATTCTTTAGATAACGGCAATTCGATCTTGCATATTTGTTGATATTTGTTGTATACAGGAGAAAATGAAAAGGGTAAAAAATGGAGCGGAAGAAGTTTTAAACGTTGAATTGAAGAACAAACGCAAAAATCACGCACAATCGAATCGAAGCCCGTTTCCTATAAACGTGGGTATACCGTTCCCACTATGAGCAAGCGATCATCATCGCCGTCGTCGTCGTCGTCGTCGTCGTCGTCGTCGTCGTCGTCATTCTCATTGTGTTCGTTATTTAGATATAAGAAAAGATAAGATGAAAATTGGCCGGGCACGTGTCTATCCAACAAAAGTTTCCTTCGTGAGATTTTTGTCGATGGCGTTGCATAGTAGACACAGCTCTCTTTGCTAGTTTGTCCCTACAGCTTGAACGAGTATAGTTATAGCAACAAGTTTCAAAGGGTGAATGCACCTACGCACACACCTCATGGGTATCGTCTTCGGCGTGTACTGGCCGACCTTGAACCATGTACTACACGAGGCCAATATATACAGTGTGTTTCTCGCCTGTTACACCAACGACGTCCACTTTGATCTGTACGAAATTTCCAATTGACGCGATAATTTTCCAACGTTCGAAAAAATATTCCTCGATCGGGTAGAATAGGCTGGATCTTACGTTCTCACGTTTTCACCTTCTCACGTCGGTTTTGCTGATTTTGAAATATGTCCTCAAGGTTTACGTTCTAATGCTTCTCTTACGTTGTATATGCGTAGCCGCAGCTCAGCCTTACCTTTCGACTCCGCTATACACGTTGTTTAACAATTTGCTTGACAAATTTTTCTTTTATCGCGAACAATCGTCCAATTTTTCAGTAGCAGCACGCGTACTTGTTACAATATTTATCTAACTACGGACGAGAGAAAGATGCGACGTTCTACGTATCTAATAATCGGGCAATTACAATTATTACTCTTTGAAAAATTTGTTATTGACTTTGCAACCGGTGATATATCGCTAAATAAATCCGTCCGTGAATGAATCGAACGCGTACTGTTTTGATTTTGATTTTAATTTTGGTTAAAATCGAACGTATAAATCTGGTCGATTCGGCAAGGTGTGAAATTTGATTCGATAGACATAAACCGATAATTCGCGATAGTTAGGGTACTTGTTTCGCGTTACAAAGCGTTATTGGCCGTGTAACGTTAGCGTACGATAGCTACGACGTAAAGAGTAATTTATCAAGTTTATCGAGCAACGTTTAGGTACGTTATACGAAAAATAAGCGACTGTCCGTATACTTTTCAGCTGAAACGTACTTAGCGTACGTAACAACGTAGCCAGGATGGGCTTAAAAGATAGACATCTTGGATCTCATCGATTTCAGAATAGCTGCTTCACCCGTGAAAACTTTGTTACCGAGCTCTTTATAACAGAGCCGCCTTTTACGATTCAAGCGGTGTCATTGCGCGTAATATGCTAACGTTCTCTACTAGCTTCCATTTTTTAAATTACATTCGCGATATCGTCAAGAATAACGGAATCTTTCCGTATAGAAAAACTTTATTTTTTTTATTTAGCGGAATTCAATCAATTACTTTGGATGTTGTATAAAAACAGAGCTCTCTCTCTCTCTGTAGAGATTCGAACGAATGCTAAAATTACATGAAAAATAGCATCCATTCCATTTACGTTATCGAAAATTATTATATCATATATATCGATGGATTGCGTCGATAGGCGTCGATAATTAAAAGAGCGCGTATCGAATAACATAAAATTAAAGGAAAAGAAGCAAGAAGAAATAGAACAGAGGTTACTGCCTCGATCCGTGAACAATCGTCTTAGAAAAGAAGAAACCTTGAAAAATGTTACGTCCTGTTCCACATAGTTTTACGTTAAAAATGATTATGGAGACTATGATAATTCCGTCCTATCTGGCAACTATTACGAAGAAATTTCTACGATTTCCTCGTGCAAAGACCAACAAGCGTGGCGGTACTGGCTCGCTTGCCCAGTTGCTTGCTCGCCATGACCATCCAACCGTATTCTTCTCTTGCTTCGATTCTTCTATTTCGTTACTTGCACTTCCTACGTCTCCGATAATCGTGCGTAATCCTTATACACGAATAAAAAGCGTTTAATACTCAAACCTCGAACGGGACTTAACGGGCGAAAGAAACGCCACGATACTTTGGATTTCGAGACAGAAAGTATAAATGGCTTTTAGAACGGTCGTATGCGAAGTATAAATATCAAGAAAAAAAAGTGCTATTGGCGTTTTCAAAACTAACGAAATTGCCATTAGTAATTTCATTACCAGCGATAGCATTCGATAGCAATGACAAATTATCACCACGCGAATATGTATCGGGCGCCATTGCTTTAGATCTCGAAAATGAGTGTCTTTTAAATATCGTTCACGTTCGTTCAGCCAGAATAAAAGTAACGTTTTTCGAACGTTACGTTATTTAATTAAGCGTAACTCAAACGCATTACGTTGGTCGTCGAGACTTCTACCTCGATAGCTTTAACGCGGGAAAAGAAATTTTATCATTACGCGGTAATACGCAATTATCTCTAAAGATCTATCGAGAAAATGCACGACATCGACGTTTTCTTAATAAGATAAGCTTAGTGAGATAAATTTTAATCGTAACTGATATTTACTTTCGTCGTCCATCCTCCGCTCGTCGCAAAATTGCTTAAAAGTAACCTTCACCCTGCGTATTTTCAGATTGCGTCCAATTTCCGTCGATACGATCGCGGCAATCGTGTCTCGTAACGGTGCTAACGAAATTCGCAAACGTTTTATACGATGTAACGTACGACGTGCGTATTTTCGCCGGTCACTCTGCATAGACCGTTTATTCCTTCCAACTTCAGCCCCTCCACCCCCTCCCTCTATCTCGTCCGACTCGTCGGAAACGCTTCGCGAGGAAATACACGATCGACGAGCACAGTGCACGCGGATTCTATACGTATATCGTATATACTCGGTTGAAAGCAATTCCATTCGCGGTTACTCGTAACTGCATCGTGTTGCGTTCGGAGAAAGGCCGCCGGTCTACGCTCTACTCCGCACGATCGTTCCGTGGTCGAGTTTTTCGCATACTTGGGAAAATCAACCGCAGAAGTGAATGTTAATAAACGAGGGATTTCTCTTTTACGCCGTGAAACCCTGAAACGGGTGAATAAACCGGAATAGCCGACCGTTTCGTCGCTATCGATCGATCGATTCGTCGAGATGGTTTTTCGCTTCTTGCGTCTTACGACCGGAGATGTTCCCAGTCTATCGGAATACGTTGCCGATCGATACCGCGCGATCATACGCGTTACAAAATTTCTCGTCGACTTTTTCCTCGCTCCAAGATCCACCGAGGCCAATACGAGAGATCACGTTGCAATTGCATTTGCAAAAAGACAACTCTTCGCTACGGAAATACGCGATAACGATCGTTGGAAGAATCAATAGGTTTAAAAGTTGGGAGAACAGAGACGAAACGAAAGCACCTTCGACGTTAGAAACTAATTTCGAAAAAAGTTAAACGAAAAGTAAAAACGGTGTCGGGAACGATCGAAAGGAGGACGGCAGTGCCCGATAAAATCGTCGACGAATCGTCAGAGTTAAAAGTTAGTACGCGTTAACCCACATCCCAGGAAGGTCGAGGGAAACTGAGTTTGGCGCGAACGTCGCAGCTCTCATTTCCGCAACCGCTTCTTAACTTCCGTCATCGGACTGCTGGCGTAATTG